TTTTTTTGAATTTGTTTGTTTAACATCAATCAAAATACATCAATCTAAATACATCAATCAATCACATCAATCATATCAGAAATTAAACATATCAAACTAATATTAATTCATATTATGCCAAGCTTTTGTTTATGATAAACATAATAATAAAATATATTAAAATGTTAATATTTCAATGGTTTATTTCTTCAGCAAATCCTAATGCACATTAAAATATAAGGGAAATCTGTTTATTTATGATCTACAAACCATTTTTCTTTTTTTGTAGATCAAGAGTTCCAGACGGAACTTAAAAAATTTTAAAGTTTGTTCAAAATTTTTATTATTATTATTTAAAATTTTTCTAAACTTTCTTTAAGTGTCAAAACAAAAAGTTCATCTTTTTCATGTAAAAAAAAAAAAAAATTCCAAAATTCCAAAATTCTAATTCTAGTTCCAATTTTAATGAATGTTATGATAATTATTACTATTGTTCTAGATACGCGTATTAAATTATTAAAAGTTTTTTTTTAATTTCTTTATTTGTATCGTGTCACTCTTAATCCTATTTATTCTTTTTTTTTTTTTTTTTTTTCTTTTATATATATCATATTTTCATATTTTACAAAAATAATAATCATCATTATCATAATTCGTCATAATTGCGGATTATCAGAATACAGATAAAAATATGTTGAGTTGTTAATTAATAAATTTTTAATACTTTATTATGGTTACATTTACAGGAGATTGTTTATTGCGAGTATTGTAATTAAAAAAAATTAAAAATTATTTTTACGACTGGCGATTTGAAGTCAGTTAATCATACGTTTTTTTCATGTATGTGGAAGATTTACTACAAAAGGTTAATAAGGTTATCATAATGTCATGCTATGTACAGTATGTACGAACCGTGAATATATGTTATAGTAATTATGTTATCATGCGTATGGTCGTATGGTTCATAATACCATGGTACGTTTACCGAATACCGATGTACGTACTGTATAGTATGTGTGACACCATGTTTGTGATAATTAGTTGCAAATCGTTGATCTAAATATATTTTTTACTATAAATTAAAGGTCTAGACTGGTCCATATTATTTGTCACAATGTTCAAAATAAATCACTGTTCATTTATACAGTACATATTTATCCAGTATCAATTACTGTATGTTACCCCTAAATATATCACATGGTCCACATTCTTGACTCGCATATATTGTGTTAGGTCAATCAGGTTCAAGTTGTACTTGGTACACGAGATGTAATTTATACAATACAGTAACCGATTTTTTTGTAGGCTTTTTGATATTACGATTTTTGTTAATTGATATAGTATCAATTAAACCGGTTTTCCAATTTCCACATGATTTGTTAATGAGTTGTATTACATATATTACCTGATCATTATATATTATTGGATGATTATATAATGGTCTAGTAGCGGTACGTAGTGCCGCATCAGACTATTATATAATCATCCAATAATAATATTATCGGTTTGACGGGACGTTCATGCAATTTTTATAATAAACTATCCAATAATTTTATTATTATGCTAATACATAGTAATATGAGATAACCGACCTAAATAAAAATTATGTAAAATCTCAAAACTTGACAGGTGACATAATTTTTTTTGATTATCTTTGATTCTTTGAAAAACTCGGTGACCGCGATAATAGAAATTTCTGTATTTCAATTAACGTTTTAAATATTATAAAAAAGGATATCTTAATTTCATAATTTTTAAATATACCTTTCTTGTTAAATAAATTATATTCCCTGATTATTATGTGTTTGATATGTCCCATTTATTATTTGTTAGATACAAAAAGGATGATTAATTTCATAAAACGAAAGTTAATATAAATCAAATAGAAGATTTTGATCATGAAAATATTATCGTTAGAATATTGTCATATATTTTTTTAAAATTTCATAATTTTCAATCTATCTTTCTTGTTAAATATGATGAAAAAAATTAGATTCTCTTGTTATGTGTTTTATCAAATAAAGATTATAAAAATTTAACAAAAGAATAAAATTTGTTAATTAATAATTAAAAACGTTATAAAGTTATAAATATAATGGTTTATGTAAAGAATGCAAATATGAGTTATCATTTATGTAAATGTAATTTTCATCAAATTTTCAAAAATTGGACTAGTGGAAATGATAATATTGATAAATTTATTCAAAAAGTACAATTAAAAGTATAAAAATTATAGAGAAATTATAGAATGGATAGATTTTGATAGATTCAAAAAATGTAAAATATTTAGTCAATCAATGGAGATGATTTTAGTGGTCGCTTTAAAATGTTTACATAAATCTGAAGAATTTTTTTAAGAGAAGTAAGTATAATAACCTTTTTATATAAATTAATTATTTTTATAAAAAGATAAATTCTAAGTTTATTATTTATCATTGTAAAATTAATTTTTTTTATAACAAAGATTTTATGATTAATTCATTCTATCTAACTCGTTGCTATGGTACACAGTGAGTCAGTGAAATTCGATATAATGGAGCCATCCGTTCCATTAATAAAATTTGTCAAAAATCCGTTATATCGAGAAATCCGTTATATCGAGGGTAAATTAATTATAGATTATGATAATCCGTTCCAGACTCCAATTCCGATATATCAAGACTTTACTTATATCAAGGTTCCGGTATATCGAATTTCACTGTGTATTACTAAAAATCCTAAACAAATGCGGTAATGATACGTGCAAGAAATGGTAGCTTAAGGCAGTATTTAAATGATACCTTTAACTCAAGCAATTGATATTTATTTTATTTTGGATTTAGAATATGTACAGGATTGCCTTCTTATTATGATATAGCTCATGATGAATTCTCAAGCTGATGAAACACAAATTATTTATGAAATTATGCCATGAATCTGAGATACCTTACCGTCATATACTATATATCCTCAACCATTTTACACTAGTAGATTTTTAAATTTCAACAATCTTCTGGAACCAGTAAATTCTTCAGATTTATCGACATATCAAATATCAATATCGTTCAGCCCAATAGGATTATTTATGATGTTATAATTAATGCATGAACAAAAACGTCAGAACGTTAACTGTCACAGGCCCTTCATTGATTGGTGAAAATGGCCACTACGTAGCCCATTTTCATCCAATCATTGATATAGCTCATCCAATAATATACATAATACATGTATATATTCAATTTAATTAAAAAAAAAAAGTATTCTATATATAATTTTATCTTAATTTTGTAGTTATGAATGTAAAATTGAAATACATAGTTAGGGAATGTTATGATTGTAAAATTGAAATAGATAAGAACCAATATTTTATGGTATAATTTATTAATGTTATATAATTCATTCATTTATTTATATTAATCAGGATGAAAATAGTGTTTTATAAATTAGGAATTATCAATTCCTAGGGAAATTGAAATATCGCCAATTACTGTATAACGATCATACAACATAGAGTACGATGGACGATTAATTACATCGGATAAACATTTTTTTATTTATTGCTATGCAGCCTATGCTCCATAAATAGTCCTCCGCTTCTATATATCTTAGTGGAAATTTTTCTGACCGAAATTGAGTATATATAATTGTAAATATTTTAATATGTTAAGTATTCCTACCGTAGAATGTGATATGAAGATTTTTATTGGTATAAAAATCATAAAACTGTTAGAATAGTTAATGATTTTGTAGTGTTTATATTATAACTAAAGTATCTTTGTTATGGATTAAAATAAAGTAAGGGAAGCAGTAGATTGAATGCACTGCAATGCAATGGAAATAAATTTGTTTAGAATACTTGATGATTGCATTTGATACAGTAGTTAATAAAATAGTTAATAAAATTTGGTTAGAAGGCGTTCGTTATATGTGAATAAGTGGTACGATAACGATGTTATTCTCATAAAAAAAAGTCTTAAAATAGTAAATTCGATTTTAATGAAATTTGGTTGGAAGGCGCTCGTTATTGTGATAAGCGATATTACTTTCATAAAAAAATTCTTAAATAGTAAATTTATTAAATTTCGAAACAATTAAAAATTAAAATGAACATATAAATTTACTAAATAGATTTAGCCGTTATTATTAATATTGTTTATTTTTTTAATTAAAATTCTGAATGATTTTTTTAATATTATAAGAAATGAAATACAATTATTTTGTTATTAAATAAAACGTAATTCTTTAAAATTGTTCCTCAATAGTAAATATAATGATATAATTCTACGGCAATCTCTCTCATTTTACGGCAAGATAAAGGATAAAGATATGCTTTCAAGAGGGTCATGTCGTACTAGATGTCGTACTGGTCAAAGATGGTCATATTTGTCTTACGTATCATAATTATAATAAATACCATACTTTATTTTCAGTACCTGTGTTGCTCGTATTACCATCACTCCTGAAAGCTCCTGAATCCCTGAAATACTGATATACTGTACATACATATATATATATATATATACTGTATATATATGACTATTTATAAAATAAATATAAATATACTATAAATACTTTTGAATATTGTACTTGTACTATGTACTTGTACAAAAATAAACCAATACTTTTTAACATTTCAGTTTAATCTTTTTAACCATTAGTTTTTTTTTTTTTTTACATATTCTATAACCAATTATATGTTAAGAATTCATTATTTATGATTTACGGAGTTATTTAAAAATGATTTTCGGCATTCATAACAGAATATCATACGATATACATATCGAAAATCATTCATTCATTCAAAAAGTTTCATTCAAAAGAATAAGAATCCAACATTGGTAAATTTATTGGAGATCAAGTACAATTAACTTCAATTTATTATATGGAATTCATATTCATTTATAATTTAAAAAAATCTGTATGTAATATGTACTGTATACTTATATATACTATACCGAATATTAATACAAAATATTTGATTGATGCTTTTTCTTTTAGCTTTTATATAAAAAAAAATAGATTAAAGGTAATAAAATTAAAATTTCCAATCAAATTATTTTGGGAGTTATCAAAGTAAATCGAAATGTTGCGGATATATGTCAATATGGTTATCTGAATAGAATTATTAGAATTTCGAAAGATCTACAACAATCCACATGATTCTTAATGGTAAAATATAACAGTGTTTCATTATGATCATTATGATATCCTTAAATCGATTTTCAATTAATAACCATAAATCATTCGTTGATTGTATAAATTTATTTAAATCATTTAAAAAAGTTATTCATTTATGATACTGTAGTATTATTTAACGGCGTCCTGAATATGTTACCTCAATTAATGTAAAAAACACATAAAAAAAATTATTTAGAATTCTAATTCTTTTGTTCTAAAATATGTTCATATGTACATACCCAAAATGTAAATTGATTATTTTTATCTATAATTTGGCGTACCCCTAAATAAAATGTAATTGTTCTATCATTTGATCATTTGGTAATTAGGGCTAAATGTTTTACATCATGCTAACGATTAGAAAATAATATATTTAATAAATGAAAAAAAAATTCGAAAGGTCAGCATCAATCCACGTGATTCTTACCGCTTAAATACTTAATTTGTCCGACACTTTACCAGCATTATGAACATATGAGTTAGTTCCCTATGCTAATTTTGGTAAATATAACAGTGTTTCATTATGATCATTTTGATACCCTTAAATCGATTTTCAATAAATAACCATAAATCATTCGTTGATTGTATAATCATTTAAAAAAGTTATTCATTTATGATACTGTAATATTATTTAACGGCACTCTGAATATGGTACCTCAATTAATGTAAAAATCACATAAAAAAAATTATTTAGAATTCTAATTCTTTTGTTCTGAAATATGTTCATATGTACATACTCAAAATGTAAATTAATTATTTTTATCTATAATTTGGCGTACCTCTAAATAAAATGTAATTATTCTATCATTTGATCATTTGGTAATTAAAGCTGTGTAAATTAATTATTTTTATCTATAATTTGGCGTACCTCTAAATAAAATGTAATTATTCTATCATTTGATCATTTGGTAATTAAAGCTGCATCATGCTAACGATTAGAAAATAATATATTTAATAAACATTTAATAATGAAAAAAAACTTAAAAAAATTCGAAAGGTCAGCATCAATTAATTTGTCCGGCACTTTACCAGCATTATGAACATTATGAGTTCCCTATGCTAATTTTGGTAAACATAACAATGTTTCATTATGATCATTATGACACCCTTAAATCGATTTTCAATAAATAACCATAAATCATTCGTTGATTGTATAAATTTAATTAAATCACTTAAAAAGTTATTCATTTATGATACTGTAGTATTATTTAACGGCGTCCTGAATATGTTGCCTCAATTAATGTAAAAAACACATTAACAATAAAGTATTTAGAATTCCAAGTATCACACAAGTCATTTAATTTAATTCCTTCGGTTTGAAATATGTGCATACTATATACGTACTCTAAAATGTGTTCTATTATTTGATCATTTGGTCATTAGGCTAAATGTTTTGCACCATGCTAACGATTAGAAATAATATATTTTATAACATTTAATAAATGATAAAAAAAACTTGATCGGTTCAGGTTTTTTTTAAAAAAAAATTCAAAGATCAGCATTATTCCACGTGATTCTTGCCACTTAAATACTTAATTCGTCCGGCACTTTACCAGCATTATGAACATTATGGGTTCCCTATGCTAATTTTGGTAAAATATAACGGTGTTCATTATGATCATTATGATATCCTTAAATCGATTTCAATAAACAACCATAAATCATTCGTTGATTGATTAAATCATTTAAAAAAGTTATTCATTTATGATAGTATTATTTAATGGCGTCCTGAATATGTTGCCTCAATCAATGTAAAAAAATACAAAGAAAAATGTCCATTACCGGTTTAATATGAAGTATTTAAAATTCAAAATATCACAATTACAAATCGTTTATTTTAAATTCCTTTGTTCTGAAATATGTATATATGTACATACCCCAAAATGTAATTATTTTTATCTATCATTTGGCGTACTCTAAATGAAATGTAATTGTTCTATCATTTGATCATTTGGTCATTAGGCTAAATGTTTTGCATCACACTAACGATTAAAAAAACAATACATTTACTAAGCATTTAATAAATGATAAAATATGTTTTCAATTAACGTAAAACTTAATCAATATTATAAAATGAGTCAGTATTGCTAAATATCACCGCTGATGATGATCATCTTACCAGAATTAGGATAGAATTTTGGGCAGAATTAACAATGTCATGAAACTTTGCCTGTTAATATTTGCTAATGCTGGTGCGGTGAGATTTAGCAATGCCCTTATAAAATATGTTACAGAAAACTTAAATTGTTATCAATATTATAAAAATATGTTACGGAATCTCTTTTCCATTTCAAATAATGATTTTGGGGAAAAATTCTCATTTGAAATTATATGTTATGTTTTACGGAATGTCCGTCTCAAATCAATAAGAAAAAGTCCTCATTTTAATTTAAATTGAAATAGTACGTTTTTTGGAATATCTTAATAAAATAAAAATATATTTACGGATCCATTTTTCCGTCTAGATTGTTACGTGCATTCAATAAATTCTTTGGGGAAAAAATTTTAACCTAAGTATGCCGAATATCTTAAATCTAAAAAACGCTCACGGAATAAGGTTTTCGTCTTAGATAAAATAACTATATTCAATACAATTCATTGTTAAAGAATCTAGAACTTTAAAGTAAACCATTTTAATATTAATTAAAGTTCCTGACCGAACATCTTTAAAGAATATATAGTATATGCCGTCTCAAAATAACTATTCTTCAATACTTAAAATTTTAATATAATTGATATAATTGAATGAACTTTAAAAATTTGTTTTGAGTACCTTAAAAATCTTTAAATAAAGTAAAAATATGTTTATGAAACCTGTTTTTTTTTCGTCTCAAACGAATAGAATTAGCGGCGTGCATTCAACACATTCATTTGGAAAATTTTTTTGTTATCATGAATCATGAGACTGATCATGCTGCATTCAATAATCAATACATTCTTTGGGAATTTTTTTTCATATCATAAGACTGTTCATTTAATAATCTATACCGAATATCTTAAAATGAATAAATACAGTAGGTTTTACGAATTCTGTTTTTCTGTCTCAAAATCTCAGAATTTTGGAGAAAATTCTTTTTTTTATTAGACTAAACATTTTAATACTATTCAATGACTTTCAAATATCTTATTAATACTTTTTTTGTTTTGAATTTTCACGGTTTATGATGCACAATAACGCCATGATATATATGATCGGAAATCAATAGATTATATAATATATATATTTGGATAGGTATGGTTATATATGGTTAATATCTACTATCAATTAATATATCAATAACTTTCATTATGCACAGTAAACGAATCAATGATAATTTATTGGTTAAACTTTAAAAACACATGTTACAGATATTCAAAAGGTTAGATTAAAAATTGTTGGATAAATTTTATCCAGTAGTCACCTCTTTTCTTTTTTGTTATAAAATGTTTTGATTTAAAACCATCTCTTTTTCTAAATATTTATCTCAAATAAAATTATGGAAAATACTCATTTCGAATTTAACTCAAATAACGTTGTTGGTACCGTTACTATCAATGGTACAGTACCACTTATAATTATATTTTTCAACGTTTGCGGTACGCGCGAATAACGCCTAGTACAAATGACATTGTATTTTGTTTTTTCACTCGGTATAGTATATATATAAGACATAGTGTTACATATTTATTATATAATTTATATGTGTATATATATATTTTTATTTATTATCAAAGAACACTTATAAATATTTTATTATATAGATATTATAGATATGATATATGTTTATTTATAACTATATTTTTAATTATTAATTATTATTTTTTTTTTAAAAAAAAAAAAAATTCTTAACAATTCAGTTTATAGGTAACCTCCAGTCTTTATTATATAGATTATTTGAATTTTACAATCTTCCTTAACAAAAAAATTATAATGATGTATTTAAGTCAAAAATTACAAAATTTCATGATAGATTCAATTGGTTTTCATTTATTTTTTTTTTAATTCTAGTTGTATCAAGAGTTTGTGCAGTTAAAATAACCAGCAATTCTTCAGCCATTTTGAGATATAAAATTGAGAAAATATATTTACCTAATTATTTATTAATAGCTCACGAAGGGTAAACGACAAGATTAGTTAAAGGAAGTGAGAAAAAAAAGATTTGTAACCAGTTACCATCAGGAGATGTGATACTAGAAGTATCGGTATTCGGTACCTTCAACTTCGTTAACCAAAAGAGATTTCAGCCGCGGCCCCTACCGAAATTCTTCTACAGTTCCATTGCTTTATCTAGCTCAATTATTTGATAAAGCAACTAGATTAGTGTGATTATACAAAATGGTAAAGGCAAAAATGGCAAAGACAAAGGGAATAATCTATGATAAAATATTGGAATTTTCCGTTCTCTGGAAAAAAAGATCTCAAGAAACCAATGAAACCAGTGATGGCCAGTGATCCAAATGACCTCAAATGACTCAAAGATTTCCCCATCAGCCTCATCAGCTGTGCATAATGAACACACGAATATAAAATAAGAAATGAAAGATAAAAGCCCAAATGATGATAAATACCCGATTAATTAATTGTATATTAAAATAAAATATATGAAATTAACCAGAAGAATTTTTTTTAAATATATATAACATAAATGAGCCAAGTCTCAACCGTCACATGGGTCAATATTAATACGTTTGCGATGAAAATATTCAAGCCGCAGCAACAAAAAATAGAACGAAGAACATAACGCAAGAGATGAGAATTCTTATTGTTTACAGCAGGCTTCTGTGGGGATTCATTATTTGGTTTCAATAAACATGATCAAACTATTCATGAATATGAAACTATACAAAAATATACGATCTTATTAAATAAATTTTTTATTAAATATAAGATATAACCAACTTTTTTTTTATAAATTTTTGTGGAGCAATTATCAAACATAATAAACTATACCGTATGACATTTTTTTACTAAAAAATAGCTCAATAAATTCTGAGTTTATATTTAAATGAAAATTTGTAATATAAAAACTGATAATAATAATTCAAAATTTGATATATCCGCTAAACAATTGTGGCTAAAGTCGAACGTCACATTAGCAATTTTTTTTTTTTATAAATATATAAATATATACTCCCCAACTTTCCTCTATAAAAAAATACCCTCCCTAAAAAAATAATATCTCTAAAAAAATATTTTTAAATAAATAATCGATTTTTCGGTTTTTTTTTAATTATCAACTTCATGGTTTGCTAATTACAAATTTCAGAATTTCGTAGAAGAATATATTTGAAAGGCTTCCATTTTATACCACTAATAATGAGAATATTATAAAAACGCCAACTGAAAAGATGAGAATTATCAGGAAAATAGTAGCAACTCATATTCTGATGTTAAATAAAAAAAAGATGGACGATCTTAGAAACTAATGAAAACATAGAAAAACTCAAAAATGCTGAAATTGACATTGAAAAGTATTCGGATATGAGAAGTTGCCACAACTAAATTAGCCAAGAAAATTTTCTCAGATAAACCACTGGATGAGCGCAAATGACAGACGAAAACTCTCAATAATTCTCATAGAAGAACTTCATGTTGAATAGAAGTAGAGAAGACCTAAAGAAAGAAAAAGAAGTCCTAAAGATATAGATGAAGTCGGGGAGTTCACAAGTTCATCTTAGGAAATTAGTGAATTTGTTTGCTTGAGTTAGTGAAGGGTGAATTAAATTTTATTTTTAAAAGTGGTACTTATTGAGTTGGGGAGTTCACAAGTTTGTCTTAGGAGAGTTACTTGCTTTATTTTTTTTGATTCTTTTTATTTTTTTTTATTTTTTTATTTTTTATATTTTTTTTTATTTTTATTTTTTTATTTTTTTATATATTTTTTTTAATTCATTTGTTAACCAATTTAAGAAATTGTAATTGGTAAAGTCTGCTAGTTTTAGAAATAATTTGAAACACTATTAACAATTTCTTCTTTCTTATAATAAGTAAATACAGAAATTTACAATGTAAGAAAATTTAGATCTTTCTGATGTAATATCAGAAGTATTAGTCCTGTCTCTGCCAAGACTCCACCCTAACATGACCAAAAATTTTTGTGTGTAATTTGTACACATGCATCAAATTGAATATTTTATTTTTTTATTTTTATATATAATAATAATAATGCTTTGTTGATTATTTTGTAATATAATAAAGGTTTTAAAATTTTTTTAAAAGGGAGAGATGATTTTGATCTTCACATGGAATATAATATTTTTACACCAGAATTCTTTTTGTTTATTATCATATTTATCAATACATGTATACAAACAACAAAAAAGAAATTTGAATTTCAACATAAAGGGTAGTTCTTTTATATTTTTTTTTGGTATATTATCATGAGATGTTCATCTGTTCTATAAAATTTCTTTTTTTTAAAAAAGGTTTATTACTTGTTGATGATGTATAATCCACAGATACTTATTGTTATGTTAAAAATAGGAAAGGTTTTTTGCTATTATACAGTGTGTTTGTATTGGAAAGTTTCTGTTACACAACTAAGTTTATATTCTTCAGATTCCAATTATTCTACACGGATAACGGATTTCCTCTTAAACATAGCTTACATATATTAACTAGTCTTTAACTGCAGTATCTTTCATTCTTCACATCTTTTATTTTGCCAACTTTTAGCTCTCTAGATGTTCATACAAATAAATAGGACATATACTTATTCATACTATTATCAAAATTTTGACATGTGAATTCTAATTGCTAATTGGATTTGTACAAAAATATAAACATCTTTACTGATTACAATATATTGACATTATTTATTAACAACTCCATTACTACTCTTCACTATAGATTCGAAATTTTACTATTCTATTCGTAATATATTTACTGAAATATCTGTCTATTTTTTCAGATTTAAATATTATTGCTCGTCTACCTTAGAGAAAAAATATAACCATTCCAAAAAAAGTCTGAAGTGCTACTTAAATATTACACAAATTTTGTTGTTGTGCGTAGTCTCGTGTCAGACAAAATTTGTAATTTTGTATCACCTTTGATATAATCGTTATACAATTGGAACTAATAATAATTGCCTTCTATTAATAATTCTATAAACCGAGTTTTTCATTTCACTTATTGCATATTTAGGTTCGGAATTTATACTGCAGATTCATAATTCTTGGCTCTCTTGTAATACTTAATCCTTTACATGATCTATATGGATAAGAGTGATATATAGCTGATATATATAGGAAAAATTTTGTAGATACGGAAATCTGATATTTATAGAATTTATAAAAGAGTCTATGAAAATCTTAACTAATAGTGATAGAAACAAACTAGTTATAGAAAAAGAGCAAAAAATCCTTGAAAATGTCATAATCTATTTTTAAAGTTACTTTCAAATAAATTCACATGACTCCGGTTGATTTATGGAACGACCAATATGACATTTTTTTAAAATACGTTCGTTGGGTTGAGTAGTCGCACACAACAAATATTATGTTTTTTATGTAGAAAATTGAACTGTCGAAATTTATTATTTTTTATAATAAAGAATCATATTGAAAACGAAAATATTAGGTATTATCTAAATAAATAAAACTTCTCGTTTGAAATTAGACAATGAAAACACCTTTATTGCCAAGAAATACAATACAATACCTATTGCAACAACTGTGTAACGATTCTTTCACATTTTAACACGAGCATCTTTTTCATAAACAATCAAATATTTAATAGTTATTCGGCACTTCGTGCCGATTGCTGAATAACTATAATTATTATTAAAAATCTTTCATTTGAATTTAACAGCTGAAATCTATTATCATTAGCGTTAAAGTTATTATCCATTTGTTAATATAGAGTATAATTTAAATAAATTTTTGTGAAGAAATTTTATGTTATTATGAAAGGCGTGACAAGGACTCTGGTAAATATACTAAGTAAAAAAGGGCCTATCTATATTATTACTATACTGTAAAGGATAAGTTAAAATTTCTAATTTTATGAAGGATAAGATCTTGGTCTGATAAAAAAATTTCTATTTTTATGAATCATCTTTTGAAAAGTTAAATAATTGATTGGACAGGGAAAATCTTATCTAATTTTAATAATTAATTGTTTCTTAAAAATATATAAGTAGGGTAGGTATATCGCTATGGAAACTTCCCAATTTTTTTAGGTTACAAATAAAGTATACGGCAATTTACCAAGTTATCCGAACAACAATTTTTCTTCGGTGGCGATTTTGTCCGGTCTATCAAAGATTGTCCGTATTACAACAGCAAAGAATCTTTCTTATATTTCCAATTTTAGGTTACACTACATCATTTGCCGCAAACCTTTGAAAGATTGAAAGAACAATTTTTCCGGTGGGATGGTTTATCCGGTCTATCAAAGATTTTGTTGTATTACAACGGCAAATAATAGATATTTTTATATTTGGACAAAGAAAATTATTAATATGAATTAAATAATAATTACGACTGATAAGGGTAATTTGTAAGTTAAAAAAATCCGGCTAAAACAATGAAAATGTATGAAATTGAAAGTGGCGAGTCAAGTTTCACAACAGGATTTGTTGTGGTTTCTACAAAAAAACTATAACTGATAATATTTCATTATAAATTTCAAATGTTAATGATATATCTATAAAGCATATGAAGTATTAAGGATTTTAAACAGGGTAAATGAATAAATCAAAACTGGGATCAGGTGATTTTCATTATTTGTGTATACATGAAAAATCGGAATCAGAAAAATTTGAGATTAAGCTTTTTAAACTTCCAAAAAAAAAACATTTATTATATTGTACTTATCGTTAGATAAATTTTTAGAATGCCGCCTCCAGCATATAGTAATGACTTAAAATGTCTTATAATATATCTTCAAAATAAAGAGCGGATTTCATGATATAATAATGATCTGCACCTTTTTGATTAATAATAGTGAAATAGTGAAAGGATATTCAGAATATTCCATATTGCCGATCATGTATTTTATTAGTATAATCTTAGTATAAGGATTAGTGTAGTTGGACTGCATCATGGTGAATTAGTGTGATCGTCATCCATATTGCCGATCATGTATAAGTACGTTTAAAACGAGAATTTCATGTAGAATGATATAATAATAAAAATCAGTATAAAAACGTCTCAGTTTTTTATCTCATCAGAACCAAGAAAATTTTGATTCTAGATATTAAAAAACAGCAAACATAATTTATAAACTCTATTAAAAATGGATAATAATAATCTCAACTTTATTAATAATGGATTTAATCAATCTCAAACAACTGATACTCGTTCAGAAAATTCAAATATTAATTACCACAATGCAAATACTCCTGATTACAATAACGGGTATCCCATGATGAACGGTGGCGTATTCCCAGCATCTTACACCAATACACCTGTTTACACCGATACACCTGGCAACTCTGATTTATCTCAATCTTATCCTACCGCTTCATCAGATTCCCCAAATCCTCCACAATATGTTTCGCAATGTAATAGCCAGAATGCAACACAGTCCAATCCTTCACTATTTAACTCACCCAATATGACCAATTATTCTCAAATTAACCATTCTGAGATCTTTATTACATTTGACATCCCCGGAATTAAAATTATCATTATACCTACTTTTCCTACAATGATGACTTATCCTTTTCAAGCAAACCATTCTGAAATCCTTACATTTGAAATTTCTGGGTCCAAAGTTGTAATTATCAAGCTTTCTTTTCAATGATTAATTCTTTTGAAATTACCTCCTATTGTCACGTGATTGAAAAATCAAATAATTAGTTATATAGTTATATATATATAGTTATATTTTAAATTTATTTTATTTGTTAATAATCAATTTATATAAATAAAGTTATCTTGAGTTGACCACTTTGATAATATTTAATGCAACATTTGAAACTTTATCAGTTATGGTTACGTTAACTTTTTTAGCGTCAACTTCAGTAACATTACAGTCGCCACGTGACTTCGTCAATGACTTTTTACTGTAGACTGAATATTTAAACTTTATCAATTTATTCTTAGAAGAAAACCAAGTATATTATTATCAACAGTTACGTTCTGCACTAGTGAAACAGAAAGTGTAGCAAATTTATTCGACTTATTATTCTCTTTTCTATAACAGGAATGTTCAACAAGCCAATAAAAAACTTTTTTTGGAAGCAAAGGAGCGAAAAAAATTCGAAGTATTCATGATCATAGGTTCCAAATATGCACCACACTAGCCCTGTTCATTGACAAATTTTTTAGCCAACCCTATAAAAAAAGTTGTCCAAACACTGTTCGGTTTTTTTGTTCGGAAAATTGAACATTTACTTGACATTTATTGGACAATTATCATGATATTGTACGTTTTTTATGTGGTCGAAAATTCTCAATCTCTGCATCTTGTATTAAATTGTAAAACATTTTTTATAGGGCAATCAAATTCGGACAACATAACAACAATAAAATAATAATTAAAGTTAGGGCGGGAACAACGTGATTCTATTCCATTAATTTACTTGGTCAACCGTACGACCGAAAAATTGCGTAACAGTAATTCATGATAATTACTCATGAGAATTTTTCATTTTTTCATTAATCATTTCTTTTGCATAAATTTTTTATTGATAAATTATTTTTTTTTACTATTTTATTATTAATGATATATTCAGAGAGGTTTTTAAAAGTATATTATATACCCTCAAAATTTCTCAATTTTTCTCAAAATTTCTTTCTCTAAAAAAAATACGTTTTATCTCTTTACAGAAAAATATTCAACATGTGCTTTTCCTTAAATTGTTTACTTCGAAGCGAGAAATATGAAAATTCTTTATTTCTCAGTTATTGTTGACGCAGCAATCGTTGTTTCTAATAATAATATCAACCAAGATGATATTCAAGTTTCGCATATCAAGTCTCTTGTCTTTAATGAAATAAGTGAAAAACTTAAATCACTTAATATTAACAATTTTGCCAGTCTGAAACTTTGGAAGGTCGATGGTAAAAAGGTTGAAAATAACAGAAATAAAATTGAAGGATTTTTACCGAAGATGACGTCTTCTTAACAGATATTTTACTGAGGATAATTTTAAAACAAAGTAATCGATAAGGAGACAATTCACATCATTGTACAGCCCGTCGCTGCTGGTAAGTGTCTCCCAATACCTTACCTCTCGAACAAGAAATTTTATGATAACTTATTCCATTTCTTATTCACTTTCTTTAACAGTCGCGCGCGAAATGGCAAGAAAATAGGTATAAAGATATTGTCTTTTAACTTTCATACTAATTGCATTTAGTAACGCCACTTCCTATTTTGTATTATATAGGAGGTCTTGGAGGAACAACTCACCGAAGACTGGAAGCAGCTTCTTCTATGAAGGTATTAACGTTAATCTTAATAGTGTTATCATATGCAAGAGAGAATCAACTATCAGCAAACCGTTTGAATGTCTGCTTAAAGAACGCATTATCCTAATTCGGTCACCACCAATGACTGGAAAAACATCTCTTGGACAACTACTTGAGGATAAATTGCTCAAACTAGATGAAGTGCAGGATGGTTCAGCTTGTGTTTTTCGCATTTCGTTGGTATGTATGCAAAAGTATACTAATTCATGGAATTTTATGGAGATGAGTTGGAATGATTTTCTTGAACAATGTGGTTATAAAAAAGCATATTTGATTATCAATGAAGTGCAAAAAAATATATAGGCATGAGATTCACGAACTTCATCATGGCGGAAGTATATTTTGGGATGCATTTAAATACATAACGCAATCCTCACAGCTTTGCATTGTAGAATTAGCATCATACGGACATTATGGCGCTTATGCCACTAGTGGAAGTCGTTCAGACATGGACATTTCATCTGTTAATAACCTTAGTATGAAAAACAAATGGGGATATGAAGATATTTGTTTCACAAAAGAAGAATTTCATGATTATTTTCACAATTTGTGAAGTATATCATTGTATATCATTATGATAAGTTGATAAAGATTAATCCTTCTGCTCAACCCTTTAGCTCTGACCTGAAATTCCATGTCTTTTTAAATATATGTCTGCCATAACAGCTTACATCCTGGTTTAGTTGCTTATACTATGAATCACATTGCCGAACGATATACTAAAAAAGAGAGAAATTCTCTATCTTTTAATGTTTTTTCTTTTCTAAAGTTTCATGATTTTAACGATCTCATCAAGGTAATGTGTCATATTTTGTATTAATTCTAATAACTAATATATTTACTATACAATTTTAATGTTGCACTTTTCCAGAATGTCGTGCATTTTATTCAGCTTCAAATCTTTCAGATGAAGAAAGAAAAAATTGTTGATTCTGTACCCTTTAGAAAAGGGGTCTTCCTTATAATTCGAAAGACATTACATATGGTGGACGACTTCTTGTATTTGTTGATACAAGTCCAAGTCAATCAGACATTGCACTACACGATTTTCCAGCACCATTACTCTGAATAACATACCTTCAATCCCGTCTTGGTAGAACAAGCTGATCTAAATCACCTCTTAGTGATTTTTGTGAATTTATCAAATTAGTATTTGCAAAAATGAAAATATTACAAAAAAAGTACAGCACGTATGGCAGATGGAATTTTATCGTGCCTCAATGCAAGTTTTACCTGAGGTAATTATGTTTCTGTAGATGTTGGAGCATGCTTTGGAACAATAGGTTACATAGACTTCTACATAAGCAATGAGAAAAAGTTGGCACTTATCGATATTCATCATAATAAAATGAAAGTTCCAAAGCCAGAAAAACGTGGAAAACATGATATTTATGTCCTCTGTGGCAAAATTTTGAATCCGCTAAGTTAATATATCCTGATGAATCTGAAGAAATTGTTCGATTATTAGGCGAAGAAGATGATCTAAGCCCATGATTATTACAAACACAAGGATCATGATTATGAAAGTACAAACACAAGAAACACGATTACTACAAGGGAGATCTTTCAGCCGTAGCTGACGCCAAAGCCTATGATTATTATAAGATATTATGTCCCATATTTTTAGTGCGTGACCAAATTTATTATGTTATGACGTAACAACAAAAATTCACGATGTTGATGGAAAATCTTTTCTCCGTTTAACTGCAGAGAAGCTTTCTATTGAATATTAAATTTGGTCACGCGATATCATGGAATTAGCAGAAAAACTAAATGAGGAAAAACAAGGTCAGTAGTGATATCTCTTTAAGATAGATTTCGCTTCATCAAGATTGACATACTTATTTTTAAATAGAATTCCATTCGTCTGTTGATCATAACTATCTCTAAATTCAACAAATTTCATGATAATATACAAAAGATATAGAGAAACTAATAGAAATAATACATACGTTAACAGTAAGGTCAATAAACTTAGATTCTAATATCACTACTCTTCACTCTAAGCTCTTCTCATGAAATGATGTTGATTCAGAAAAGCTAATATTCGAAAAGTGTAAGACTTGTAGTACAATCAAGGTTGTGATTCGTATACCAAATGAATTGAGAAAGGGATTGAAATTCTTCTTTGGAATCTTGGTACAAGTCCGGAGTTCAATCACAACTCTAAGTATGATTAATAAATGTAAGAACAATAAGTTAGTGTGTTAGTGTTTTAATAAAATATTTGCGATTGTATTTTTCGCAATAATTGTGACATTAAGATTTAATCAGCCACCAACTGTTAATCAAGAATAAACGGAAAATTCTTACAGTGATGTAAATGCTCCGCAAAATGCACATAATTTTATATAATTAATTAATTTTTAAATAAAGAATTTAGTTAGTTTAAATTATATGTAAGTAATAATAGAATTAAATAACTTACTTCAAAAAAAAGTCACGAAAATTCACGTGACTTTTTGTCATATCACACAAAGTAGTTCAAAAATAGAAAATTGTATAGTAAAGTTATTGAAATTTTTATTTTTGTAATAAAAGCATCATATTTTGAGTAATTCAATTTTAAATTTTATAAAATGAGTAAAATTTGTTAATTGAAGACGGGTAAATAAATAAGTTTTTGATCATGTAATTTCAATTTTATCGGTAAGTTTTTGTCTTATTTATTTAAAACTAATATTTTGCCTAATACGTGTCTGCGTTCGTTTTAATTTTACCATTCAAAAATATTTCCGACTGAGTAATTAATTTCAAGTAAAACATGTCTGGTATATTTTATTAAGAAAGGATAGTTAAGCTTGAAACCGTATATATTTTTTTCTTACAACATTCAATTTATAAATAATCAATGGTTAAGTCCTTAATTATACTTTATTATTTTAAATATTATTGGACGAAAAATATTACCTACGTGGGGTAGAGTTTCTTACTGTAAAATTAATACTATTGGGTAATATATTCCACTGCACTTAAGAAATTTAGTCGATTCCAATTTAGAAAAATTTTATTTCCGGAACAAAATTTGCAATCCATCTATCAGTAGATTTTAGTAGAAATTTTAAAAAAAGTTAAAATGTACGGTATGACAATTCGCATTCTTGGTGGTTACGTATATATATGGTTATTATATTTCTTGTTAAAGTTCATTACAATGAAAAAAAACAAAGAATTCCCACCAAATAGAGTATTTAGATGCCTTAAAAGCGATCTATAACTTATTTAAGTACATTATTATTTTATTTCGGAAGCAAAAATCAACACTTATTATTAAAAAAATGATTAAAATAATCTAGAATTTAGCATGATTAAAAAAAGGTTAGATCGGATATTTTTTAACGTGCATAAAAAATTAAATTAAGCCACATAAAATATATCAGTCAATCAAAAATTAGCATGATCCTAATAGACGAACCAATGAAAAGTGATTGATATGGTGTAATAATTATGTAATGAATATTCGTCACATTTAAAAGTCAGATTTCGCCTTTTCCACGGGCGAGACTCTAGTATTGTTTGAATCTCTATTTTATATAACAAAAGAAAAAGCCATTGAATAATATTCACTCATCTCACAAAGATATGGTCATAATCATCCGCCCATTTCCTCTTGTATCCAAATTGGAAAAAAAACTCTAAGCGGATACCTAAATAATAATTTAATATGTCGAGCAATATATTTTGAATACGCCAAATTATTAAAAATCAATAAAACTCCTGATTAGAATATATAATTGTAATATAATTATTCTATACATCTAAGCTTTTTTAAGTACTAGCTCTTATATTGTTCTCTTTTATTTAAAGAATTCTCTAGAAAAATAGTCATATTAATAATGTAAGAAATAAATTTAAAATGGTTTAGTCAATGTTTATAATATCTTATTAATATAAATAATAAATATAAACAATTCATGATGTGATTCCTGCATTAAACCAATAATGTTTACAAAGAGAAGAGAATTGATACTAATCTTCTTTTGATAAATTTGCGTAATTTTTCACGTGTAACTTTTTTTTTTTGGAAATTGGCCAGAATTAACAAAATTTTGGCCAAAATTATGTTTTATTGATCGGCTGATTTAACTAATTTTGGCCAACTTTTAAATTAAGATAATAAGACAAAGTTTCATTATATAATACATATTAAAAAATTTTTCCTTTCAATTAAATAAAAAAATCCTGATAAGGATAACTAGTAAACATAATTAATGGTAACGCGGCAACATTGCAACCGCACAATGGGTTGTAATTAAAAGAAATGTGGCGTTTCATCGTCTAATTACTCTTTTTAAACATTCATTATATATATAGCTTTATAATTCAAATTATATATAAATGATTTCACATTAAAATAATTAAAATAATTAAATAATCGACTACAGTATAATAATTTAAACATTCGTTCTAAGATTGTCATCAGTTCTTTGATTTTGACAAATTAGGCAGCTTTAGCAAAGTCCTGTAGTATATGAACTGATTATCACGATCTTCGTAATCTATTTCCACATACAACATATACAATGAACTTCTTCATTTCCATGTATAGAGATTCTAATGAATTAGATAAACACATTCTTTAATTACAATGATGTGTGCAATTTAGTTATTCATTCTTCAGTTAGACAATAATTTATTTTTAGCACAAATAAATTTCTTTCAATTTAAAATTACCTCATTTTGCAATAAAACAACAACGAATTTGGTAACTGTCAAAGAATTTTTTTGCGTTTCAATGACATTGCGTGTTAAAAAAAAATGTTCCTTTGTCGCTATTTTCTAATTATGTAATTCAAATAAACTTTATTAATGTATTAAATTTTAATCGCCTAATAAACGTGTAACGACTGTAACGTAATGGAATTGTGATTTTTCTTATTAAAAGGGTACTTTCGCTCCTAAACCAAATTCTTTTACAATTTTTTCTTAAATCAAGGTATCAAATTATTGTTTCTGAAATAGTAATGATGGAGATAATGAGTGATGCCATCATTGATAAAGATTCTGAAAATAAGCCGCTTGAACCGGCTCAGCCACATCCAATTGAGACCGTGATAGAAATGCCACAAAACCAATACGCTCACGTGCCACAAAATGTGCCACGAGAACCTTTGATATCAACCAAAATAACCAATATGAGTAATAACGTCGTCATTGATATATATATATCTAAATATCTTGAACAATCTGAAAATGAGATCGAGGAAAATAAGTCTCTTGAATGGGCTCAGTCAATGATAAACATATCGCCAAACGGCAAGTATCTTGTTATTTATAACGAAAGTGAAAAAGGCAAAAAATTTGTTGGTTGGAATGTTTATGAAAACGAAACAAATATACGAGAATGTAAATATGTAATACGAGAAGGCGACAAAAATGAAAACAAACAAGGAAACAAAGAAGTTCCGGAAGACAATGACCAAGTTTTACAAGCCGGGTGTGCTAAAGTAAATAATGAAAGAATAATTCGCCATATGTGTGTATCTGATGATAAGATACTGGCGTACATTTATGATGATGATTATGATGATCATAATATCGGTAAATATAATTACTTATCTATTATAATCGTTAAATAGTAAATATCTCATGAACAATTTTTTTTTATTAGGGATAATCAATATGAATAACAAACAAAGTATAGATTTGTATTTTGAATTTTGTTATAGTAATGTACAATTTTGTAATTTTAACTTGAAAGGAGAATTTATTATATGGTGTACCGGTTGTACAGCAGACGTCAGCAGCTATTACAAGATGATAAATATCGTTTGCATTTATTCAATACAATCTGGAAAAAGTAAGTGTCAAAAGATTTATACAGTACCCAAAGAAGCGGAAGTGATAAGCATATCAAAACATGATAAAATTTGGTTTCTCAAAAATAACGATTTATACGAATGGGACATCACTACTGCTTACGCTACAATTATATATAGAAATATTTATGGGGTAATTAATAAATTTACATTTATATTACTAAATTTTATTTGAAATCAAAACTAATTCTTCGTTTCTTAAAATAAATTAACAGATTAACACAAAGGAAATTAAAATTTTTAATAATGAAGATTACACTTGTATTAGATTAAAAGATGAGAGAATTGTAGTTTATTCAATTCAACTGGGATTTCCTATTGCGTTATTTGAATTAAAATATTTAGAGAGTTCAAAGGATTCAAAGGATTCAGATAGAAAGCGGGATAAACTAATTAAACGAATGTATAATCTTATGACTAAAGATCAAACCTTAAGTTGTTTATTGCTTTCTTTATTGGATAGTGATTGTTTAAATAAATTAATACGCACTCGTTCAGATGAATTAATTGAGCCTCCGAAACAAGATCCTTCAAATCAACCAAATACTCCGAATCAATCAAACCTTCGTAATCTATTTTATCGTTCTGAACATCAACATACAAACTATAGATTCGTCTACCATAACCACACTATTAAAGTTGACAAAGTTGAACCTAGTGAGGAATTGAAAGCCAACAATTATGAGTATGAGAATACAAATTTTTCTGAATTGAAGGAAGGAAAATATCATTTAGAGAAAGGTTCTATGATTTGGAAATTTAGAATGGAAGAATTAGAGAAAGTTTCTATGAATTCGAAAAGGAGTGATGCAGAATCGGAGTTGAGGAACAATTTACTAAAAGATTTGGATGAAAAAGAACCTAAGGATTTAGATGCTGAACTGATGATAAAAAATTTGAAAAAAATATTGAGTAAATGGAAGAGTGACGATATGTCCTTAGAAGTTTTAGAGAGATTGGAGAAAAAGAAAAAATCGACTGAACAAGAAGATAAAATTCAATTAATTGAAAAATTAATCAATGAATTAAAAAGTAACGAAAAAAAACAGAAAATTAAAATAGATTTAGAAAATTATTTTCTCAAGAAGATAAAACAGATAAATAAAAAAGGATCATTCGATGAGGGCATTAAACAATCATTAGTGGAAAAAGTTATTGATCCGATACAGGAGAAAATTATCAAATATTTAAATGAAGATGGTTATCTTCGTAGGTTCGTAATTGAATTACAAAATGATGCTAAAGATATTATTAAAACAATTGGAGGAATCTTTAAAGAAAAACATATCGAAGATTTACGTAAATTAAAGGATGATTATTATGATGAAAATAAAAGAGTAGTGAGCGAGCTGCTTAAGATAAGGGATTTAATAAAACGATCTTACATTATAGAAATAAATAAAATTATTGAGACCAATCCAGATAAAGATAAACGAAATGAGAAAATTAATGATTTGGAAAAAAAGTTTATTAAAGAGATAGAGGTAACTAAGATTAAATTATTCGTGAAGAAACTTCTTATTAAAACTAAAAGATCAGAGAAAGACTTTTCCACCAATGTAGAATTATTAACTGATGATGAAATTGAATGTATATTGGAAAGTATGATTGAAGAAGTGGAACATTATAATGGAATAACTCTAAATAAAACTAATGATGGGATTAAAGAATTGGTAAAAAAAATAGATAAGCAGAAAGAAAGAAATACTAATGAACATGAAGGAGTTCCTAGGGATCATATTGATCAAATTGAACAGAACTTCGATATTAAAGAATTAGTGAAAAATTTAACCAAAATAATAATTAAAATTGGAATAATAGTTAATAAACCGAAACCTAATAGATTTGGAAATTTATTTCAAACTACTAGTCAATTAAAGGAATATATAGAAGGAAATAAATTTGAAGATTTAAAGGAAGAAAATCTCAGCAATATTAATGAGAAATTTAATAAGTTTGAAATTCTTATTGAAAAATTAGTGAAAGATTACACTAAAGAGATAGATAAAATCGAAAGTAATAAATCGGGGAAGAATATTCTTGAAGATATACTAGCGGGAGAAAGAGCAAATGGTATTATTATTGATAAAGTGGAGAAAGCTATGATTAAAGAATCAGCGAAAATGTTTATTGAGGAAAATGTAAAAATTAGGATCAATAGAGCAAAGGAAACTTTTATTAAAAGTATAGAAACAGCTAGTGAAGAGCAACAGGAATCACAGAAATCTAAGATTAAAGAATCCGTGAATAAATTTATCGAATTTGTCGAAGAATTAGATAAGATAGAAGATATAAATGAAATTGAAGAGGAAGTGAAAAATTTTATTACCAACAATTTCATTGAAGAAAATGCTACAACTGACGGAACAGAGGAAAATAATTTGAAAAATGCAACTGAAATTAAAAATTCTGTGGATGAGTTTATTAAATGGGTAAATAAAAAAGAACGAATAACTAAATTTAAAAAACTGGAAAACTTAATTAGAGAGATAGGAATAACTGAAATTGAGAAATTAGGGGAAGATTCAATTAAACCAGCAGATGATTTTATTGATCATATAGAAACTAAAATTGAAGAATTAGAAAGTGATTCTAAACCAGAGGATATTATTAATAATATAAGAAAATTTAAAATCGAAAAATTAGCCAATATTAATGAACATGAACGAAACGAAATTATTAATAATATAGTAATATGTAAAATCAATGATGAATTAGTAAAAGATTCTACGGAACGGATATCTACATTTAAAAAATTAGAGAATGAAAATAGTGAATGGAGAAAAGAATTAAAGGAAAATTTTATTAAACGAAAAAATAAGATTGAAGAATTAGCAGTGGATCCCAAAAAATTTGAATTTCAAATAACTGATAGTTTAAAGGCTGATAGAGATTTAGTTCGTTTATTTTGCGATTTAAATGAAGAAAGTATCGATATACTTATGGGACAAATGATAAATAATGATGAGATTGCCATTTTAACAAAGATCGGTTTTTTTATTTTCCGTTTAAACAAAGATGTGAGATTAAATTCTAAAGATCGGGAATTAATTTCTTTGAATTATTTTTATTATGTGCACGATCCTGAGCAAAGTATCAAAAAGGTCCAAAAGATGATCGGCAACCCAAAAGTTGATAAAGACGCTAGGCACTGCTGTGGCAAGTTTCTTAATATGACCAAAAAAGTAATTTATGTTGTCTTCGCAAAAGAAGCAAAAGAGAATGATGAAATTAATTGTAATAAATTAATTCGTGGATGGGTTTCATATGTTAAAAATAATAATGAAGATTTTTTAAAATATGACAATGCATTGTTAATATTCGCAATTGAGGCAAATGATTTAGAATTAATAGATAATATTTATAAGAAATGCTTAGATCTTTTTAATCAAGACCCAGAAAATAATAAGGCATTTTTAAGCATTATTACTAAGTCAATGGAATTATTGAATAAATACTATCCTGAATATGTCACGAAATTTTCATCGGATACAAACATGATAATAGATTCACCTAACTATAAAATAGTACCTCTTAGAACTTCACATCTTTATTCATTTTCTAATATTGAAATAGTTGATTTATCACGATCCATCTTTTGGACAAAATGTATTCAACAAATTAGTAATATTTATAACCACACAGATAAAACAGTTATTAGAGTCTTAGTGTTAATAATATTTGGAATCTTTGAATGTTTAATATTTTTCTTAACATTCCCTATCTCCTTTCCAATATTTTATATTTTAAGTTATTTTAACATTATTAATGAGATTATAACTGATGGGTTTACTGAGATTTACTATAGATATTATTACTATATATCAAAGAGAATTAATTCAATATTTTCTGATGAAAAACCAAAACCCACAATTACTTTTATTGTTCCCTATATCAAATTTGTTAGTTATCCACATGAATATGATTGGTGGAAGGAATTAATAAAGCCCAAGCCAAGTCCATTTGTAAAAACAATCAATAGATCAATATATAAGACATGGAATGGAGAAGCATTAATTAATTTCAAGTGGAATTTGTATGGAAAATATTATTATTTCGGAATTTGGATTTTATTTACCGCTTTACTTGGATGTTTTACAGCTGCTACAACACTTACTAGAGAGTTAATACCTGATAATATCAGAGAACGACTTTTAATTGCTTCAATTATTCTCGGATTTATTCACTTCATTTTTGAATTTCGTCAGTTCATATATGATCCTATTGAATGGATTTTGGATCCTTGGAACTATTTTGGTAAGAAACGAATTTATTTATTTATCATATGCCCACCAAATATATTACTAAGTACTAATATGTATTGTATATTATATATTATTTTAGATTTGGGAGCATATTTAATTCCTACTTGTACATCTATTTATTGGTTATGTACTGGTGATAAAATTTATTTTTTGATTTCAATTTCATGTCTATTATTAGATTTCAAATTTTTGTTGTTTTTTAGAGCTTTAGAATCATTTGGTGTCTATTTTGTAATTATTATTAGTGTTGCAAAAAAGATTTCTTCCTTCTTAATCGTTTTAATTATTATCATTGTGAGCTTTGCTCATGCTTTTTTTATTCTTTTGAAACCGAGGGACATTTATAGTTTAACTGAACAGCCGCCTGCAGATAATGACGACCCTAATAATCCTTGGAAGTTAGAGGACAAACCTAATAATAACACAAATTTGTTTACTAATTATGGAACTTCACTTTTTTCAATGTATTTGTATCTCATAGGTATAATTAATATTCATTCTCCGTCTTTATTTTCTTTTAATTTTAAATATTTGATATAACCAAATTATTTTTCTATTAACTTTTTTAATAGGAGATTTAAATTCTTTATCTAAATGGGAGTATGGAAATAATCCACCACTTGCCGGATTAATGGTTTTATTCTCTTTATTAATCGCTATATATCTTATGAATTTGTTAATTGGATTACTTAGTAATGCTATTGAGCAAGATAATAATAGGGCTTCGTATTTTATGCAAAAGGCAGAGGTATTTATAAAGTCCTATAATAATATATATTATTTACCCACAGTATTTCTTAATTTGATATTGTAATAATAACGAGTATTTATTTTATTCTTAAAAATGTTAGATTTTGTCGGACATTGAGCTATTTTACTTATTTCCAAATCAAAGACGTTGGAAAACCTGGTTTCCTGATGTGATGTAAGTTTCTCATATAGCTCTCTCAATTTACTTTTTATTATCTTATTCAGAATTTTTGATTTATTTTTTTTATTATTTTATTAGATATTATCATGCTAATTTTGATGAGACGCGCAGAAAAGTTCTAGAGCAAATTAAAAATGATGAATGGAATAATGATGAATTTCCAGAAATGAAAAGAAAGTTATTAAATAAGCTCAAAATTCATAAAAAGTCTAATAATTTATAATAAGGATTTGCTAAACAAAATCAAAACTAAATCAATTAATTTATTATTCAGGAGTAGCCCTTAATTTTTTTTTTCCATTCGACTAATTTTATATATCATTAGTTAAATTATACCTAGTTTTTATATCTTATAGCAAAAAACTATTTATTATATTTAATAAACTTCTTCTTATACCTTTAACAATTTCAATTTTCAAATTGATGATCATTAGTCAAAGTGAGGGTTACCGTAAGCTAATGATTAGTCTGGATAAATTTAATACATGTGATATATGTGAAAGAAATGTCAATGCAAAAAAAGTTTATAATTATAAACGTTCAGAATGCATAAGATCGGGTTATGAAACAAGAAGATCGCACTCCCATCTTGTGTGTAATAGATGTGAGGCATCAAGCATGATTTGTAATCAATGCTGTTACAACTGTAAAGTTAAAAAAAAAAATTTCTGCATATATTTAATGAAAGGTGCGATATTAATGATTGCAACGAGCGAGGGCAACATGATCATTACTTGTGCAAAGAATGCAATGATCAGCGAACTAAGTTAATTTTCAGATTCTAATAAATTAGTTATTTTAATATCTACATTTAAAAGAAATTAATCTCATAACAATATGCCTAATATCTAGACCGTTTACTCTTTAAAAAAATTTTTATCTTTTTTTCTTCAACTCTTCAACGTGAATAATGAATTACTAATTTTATTCGATATAAAAAATAGAAACACGCCAACAAAAATTTCAATTTTTTGTTTGTAATTAAATTTTATTATTATAATTAGCTCAATTTTTCACAGTTGCAGATATCGATGTCGAATTCTCATTAATCTCATATACTACAGTATAATTTTTTTTTCAATCATTAATAATAAAAAATTGTAGATACTATTTAAAAATTGGTTCAAAGATGCTTACGATATGAAGTTATAATTACAAATCACGTATTAGGAAATATAAATTTGGCCTGCACTAATTATTCCTTCTTTTTTATTTATTTTTTAATTAATTTAATCAGTCTTGGAATTTTGTAAAAGAGTAAACGAATGTCTTTGTGCTATCGCGTTTTATGGAAATTGAGTATCATTAGAAGGTTCACGTTCAGTTGCAGGTGTATTTTTCGAAGAAAAATTGGAAAAATTGGAAAAAGAGGGCTGAACAGGAGTTTTTAATAATTCAGAAATAATGTTCTGAATAATATTTTTATCTTTTGTTCTTATTTCTCGCCAACTATTTTGCGCATGCTGCTGCAGTTCCTTTTTATTCAAGGTTGTATTCTGATTTTTCACCATTTCGGAGAATGCAAAAGCATTTACATACTGTTCATATAGGTTCTGTGGCTTTGAAATAAGATAACTCTCGGAATATTTTGGCTCGCGAAAATATGTTTGTTTCATTGTAAAGTAACGCAACTGTAATGAAAAAAAATACGCAAATGGTAAAAGGAGGTAGCATGTGAGTGAGAAACTTTCTCAACTGTGTTTAACCTTAACCGAAAATTGAGACATTGTTACAAATGGCGTAGTAAATTAATATGGCTTGTTAGGAAATATGTAACATCAACCCCAATATGAATGACCCCTCCCCTTAAATCTTAACAGTTAATAAAATTTTATTTTAATCAGAATTTTTTTTTTGATTATTAATTTTTTTTGTCCGATTTTTTTTAAAAAAAATTTTTCTCCCTTTTGACCTTTTCTTCTTTCGGTTTAGTTTTTTTTTTTCAACCCGAAAAATTTGGGTTTTCTCATTCTTTTCCCGTTTAGGTTTGATTTTTTTAAAATTATTTTTTTTTATTAAATAAAGATTTTAATTCAAATGGTTTTAGTTAAATTAATAATTTATCGAGTAAAAATGAGTATCAAATAATAATAAATGAAATGAACAGATTCTAATACATTTAATTGACGTAATATAAATAATAAGAAATAATTATAAAATTTCTAATTAATTAATAAAAATATTTGTAGTATTTTCATAATATTAAAGTTTTACGAAAATACTTATAACAAATTAATCAATTTTAATTTTTATTGGTAATTATTTTTTTACACTCAAACGTCAAATCATTAATATAAATAAGCTACATTATTGTAAATATATTTTTAATCTCGAAATATCGAAAGTAAAGCATCCAGGAGGCGACAGAAATCGATGCAACAGATATTATTATCAGAAGCATTGCTAGAATTTTCCATTTTAACTATTTGAACTTGATTAACGGTTGGTGGTTGATTAGATCCATTATCAGTAGGGTTAGGATTATTATCCATTATTAATAGAGTGTAATTTAAATTGATTTTGATAGGGACGGTTAAAGCATCGTCTTGATGTACTGAGCTCATATTTAGTAAAATAAATACTAAAAAACAAAGGTCTTTTTATATTAAAATTTAAAACGAAACCGGACAATTATTTAATTTTCTATAAAGGATGAAGTTGCTTTTATATAATTTTTTTAAAAAAAAATTTCTTATTTTATTAAGGACTAAAGTTTTGTCCTTAAAAAAAAAATCCAATGGACAACTTTTGTCCTTTGGAAAATTAAATGGAAAAAATCATTGCACATATCGCAAATCGCACCATATTTAGATAAGATTTTATCGAATATGCAGAATCGGTTGTATCACTCGCTAATTGCTCGGTAAAAATTTCAAATAATTTCGTATAAGCGAACATATGTTTTTTTTACAAATTAATCGAAATTTTTATAATTAGTTCAAACCAAAGATTTATGAAAAAAAATTGTTTTTAAAATAAATTTGAGATCTCTGAAAGTATTAATTATTACTTGACGCGAATTTAATAAATAAACACGAATTTATCACGAACTATCTATTTAATTTAAATTAATAGATGGTCATGTATTGTGTGGCTGATTTAAGAGTCGATATACAGATATACAGGATAATCAATTTCTTAAGAAGGATGGCTCTTTTTAGGAGAAGCGTGATTGACATCATGTTAAATAAAATATGGTATTACAAACAAACTTGTAGAAATATAAATAGAAAATCTGTAATGAAAATCGTCGTTTTTGAGTTTAACAAACCTTCTTTGTCGTACTATACAAAGAAAATTATTACGTACCTTGACCCGGATGAATCCGAAAGGGCGCATTTTTGGCAATAAAGATTAAATAGTTTTTATATATTATAAGACTGCATTCCAATGCACAATCTAGTAATTTAAAAAATTACTATTTAATACAAAAAAAAAAGAGAAAATAAAAACGGATTGATTTTCATCCAATCCGGATGAATTTCAATCCGTTTAATTTTCTCCCTACTTTTATTATTTTTTTTTATCATATTATGTATTGATAGATATTCATAAGATATCTCAAAAAAAATAATATTCTTTTTATTGACTTAATATTCATAGAATGGCAGAAATGTGTTTATTTTACGGATTGACGGATCGCAACTCTAGCCTATTGTTACGATTTTATCATGTGCAGTTACGTGAGCAATCAAATTTTCTGTCCAATAACTATTAAACAAAACATATTTTGAAATTTTATTAGTACTATTATTGATTTTATGTCAATAATATTCAATAAAAATAATAACTGGCAATAAATACTATATTGATTTATAATTTCGAAAGGCCGCCCATGATAGTAAAAGTCTAAATTTAAAGATTTAAATATTCCGATTTTAATATAAAAAAATATCAAATTGTATTGTAAATTGCAATTTAAACATTATTAAAAGCATAATTTCTAAATTGATTTTTTCAAATTCTGGTACAATTCTTCATCATAGTACAAATAATTATTAATGATACTATTAAAGTAATTAAACGCATTTTTACATAACGAAGGTATCATTTTCTTCTTTAAAAGAGAACTTGATTAATACTTATATAGGATGTATTACCGAAAAAGTACCATTGTACTCTTATAGGACAATCTTATTATTCATCAGCCTTACTAATACAAGTATCCCAAGCTTTCGAGTGAATATCAATAATAATTGTCCGAAGGACTGCATTAATAAAATTTGTGTTATTCCCTGTCTCCGTCACAAATTTTCTTTTTTTTAATACGAGCCTCTGAAATATAGTAATTTAGTTGCACCCGTATCATTAAACAAATACAACAAAGTAACGTCCGAAGGACTTAAACGGTTTCCGTTGTCCTAGTTATATAATTTCTTTTAAGGGATACTTTTTTGCTAAAAATAGCAAATAAAACTGTCCCAAATATGATTATTATTCGATACAAAAAAACTCTTAGTTAAGTTGTTTAGGATAGTGGCTATATGAAGTAATGTGCATTATTTTGTAGAAGGTCATTCGCATTCGCTCTCCTCATTAATTCATTAAATTTAAACCCTTCTTGACCTCCATCTTCTTTGAATTTTATGTAGTCTCAAAAAAAAAAGAAAATTGCTAAACTAAACCGGGTAAAAAATTAGCAAAATAAGACTAATTTACGGAATTAAGAATACTTAGTAGTATGCAAGGGAACATGGACATCCACGGAAGCTTACCATTTCCATTGGAAAGGAACAATTTAGCTTAAAATTATCATCTGAAATAAATAATTTGCTATCAATGGATAATAATATTCTCAAGTAGATATGAAAAATTACAATTATTAAAAGACTTCGTACAAGGCCACAAGCTACTGTATTATGCAGATGGAATAATCACCAACATGTTTCAAATACAAAGCAATGACGTGCATAATGCACAGATGAAAAAAACACCACCAGTGATCGTCGTGTATAAATCAATTTTGTGTAAATATTTCGGTTATGAGCTTACTATAAAAATGTTCGTCTTGATGAGATGAATTCAACAAGCTATAAAACATTAAATTCTGATCACTGGTTGATGCAATATCATCAAATTACTTTGAATTTTTCTAATTATTAAAAATTAAGCCCATTTTCGGCCAAGTTTTGGTTAATTTTTGGATTTGAAAACGTTGATTTTCGAGCTTTTATATGAATTTTGATAATGTATAGCAGAATTTGCAAAAAATAACCCAAAATGGTGGTTTTGTTATGATATCAAATAGATAATTAACAAATGATCGGCAAAATGATCAGCAATAATGTGATAATACGAGGATGTCCACATTGTTTATATATATATATGATATTTATTTAGTTCATTAATAATATCAATGACACATTAAAATAAAGAAACAAAAAAAGTACAAAAAGAAAAAAAATGAGTTCATGTGTTTAAATATAATAATTATATTTACCTTGCTTATTAATAGGTAAATTAATAGGTAAATAAAAAAACAATCGAAAATATTTATTTGGGGATATTTTTATTTTAAACATTTTAATATTTTAATTACCTTTTATATTCCAATTATTCCATATATAAAGTTCGGAACATCCTGATAAAGTTTCATTTTATTCTTACTTTGTTATTTTTGACTTAAATGGCTTTATAAAGATCGGTAATGTCCATCAAAAAATTCATTTTATGGACTTTCATAACCAAATAAGTGATGTATCAAAAACATTCCAATTAAATATTGCGATTTAGAAGCACGAAAACGGATATCAACTGCATACAAGGTTATACGACAGCCAAAAAAAATCCCGTGATTCAGCCACACTCAAAGTAAAATCGGAACCAAGCCATTCCCAGAATTTCTAAATAGAATATATCTCATTTAAGGATTTTCTATCATGCATCGTGTTTAAAAATTGCGTAATTCAAACAACGACATTTGTTATATAATTTCACGTTAAATTATATTAACCGAAGCACAATGAAAATCTTTTTTATTATAACAGAGAGAGAAGAAAGAAAAAAAAGGGTCATTTATTATTGTCTTATCTATATTGAAAGGGATTTATATGTTCCTATTTTTTGGTTAAGTTTCTTGAATAGATTTATTGCATTTATTGCATATACACATGTTAAATTGTTCAAATTATCTCATTGTGAAATAATAATTGAATGTTGATGTCGTAATATTGATATACAGTAAATAATAATAATAATACAAAGTATTATATTTTTTCAAAGTAAATAATATTTGGTTAGATTCTATAATAGAGTTATTTTGAACTCCTTTTAAATTAACAAAAATGGTAATTTTTTTTAGGAACTCAAGTTTCGTTATAAGAAAATTATTTCCCCGGTTTTAGAGGTAAGGGATAAATAAATTTTTAATTAAAGTTTTTAAATGTATAAAAGGGATTTTACACATAAACTACAAATAAAACAAGGGAAAAGGAAAATAGAATCAATTATGTTTAAAAAGTAAGAAACTTGTGTTTACCGATTATTAAATAATTTTTCTTGTTTCATTTTTTAGTATTTTTACGGAAATAATTTCTTATGCACTATAATATAAAAAAATAAAGTTTTAGTTATTAAACTATTTTTAGTCATCTATAAATATAAAATGAAATACTACCATATAATAATTAATTGTTCATTGTATGTACAAATATAAGTGAAATGATTGTTGAATAAGTTGAATAACAAATCGTTGTTTACACAACCATAAAGCAGTGTTGGCCAGTGACTCAAATGACCTCAAATGACTCAAATGACTGGTCACGTGTCATTTGGGTCATTTCAACATTAAATGACAAATATCTTCCCCAGTATAGCCACCAAATTTTTCCACCCCCACGTGACCCTAAAATTTGTCACCGGCATCACACCTTTCCTGTTTTCCATTTTTACTATGTATTCCAGGGACTTAGATTTTTTTCAGTGTGTGAAATCCTATTTGTCACACCTTATTTGTCACATGCTTAATTTCTTAATGCCAGCCGAGACATATAATGCCGGCCAAAAATCACGTGGGGTGGAAATTTTTTGTGGCGTTTATACTGGGGTAAATATGACAAATGACCTAGTCATTTAAAAATTACATCATAATTCTGGCCAGAACTATTCATACAATTTCACTATTTCATGGATAAAATTTTCACATGATATTAGAAGTTCATAATTCTGGCCAGCATCATTAAATTGGCCTGAATTATAAAGAATTAATTTTAAATGACTCAAATGACAAATGACCTAAATGACTAGGTCATTCGAAGGTCATTCGGAGGTCATCTCAAAATGGGCAAATGACCTAGTCATTTGCCATCACTGCGGCATAAAGAGAGTTGATCGGCCGATCATCCCTACGCTTTTGTCAAGTTATTTATGTTTTTTAAAAGAATAATAGAAATAAATACTGTGAGAAATTTTGATTCTATTGATTTAATCTACAAATTACATATAAAGAAATAGATTGATATAAAAAATTTTTATAAATCCCATAGAAAATATTTCCGAGGTCCTGAAGAGGCGAAATTTCCACTTCAATTTCGTTCGTAACATTTGTTCTTTGAAAAACCAAAAAATATCAAAATATTTTTCGTCGAATATCAAAATCAAAGCGTAAAACATGGAACAAACCATGAAACAAAATATCGAACAAAATATCGAAAATATCGAAAATATCGAATTTCAAAATTCAATAAATTCAATAGGAGATAATAATACATTATTCATACCTAAATTCTCATTTATCGGAATCTCCATTAGAGGAACCATATTTATTTGAAGGAGAAGAATTTTATTATTATTATTATAATAATCAATTTACACCGGAAGAACAAGCAATGTTGGGAATTACTTATGATGGTGATAATCAAATGTATAATATAAATGAGCAAGTAAATTCAATATTAACTTGGTCACAGAAAGTGTAGCAAATTTATTACTTTTTATTCTCTTTTCCATAACAGGAATGTTTAACGAGTCAATAAAAACTTTTTTTGGAAGCCAAGGAGCGAAAAAAATTTGAAGTATTCGTGATCATAAGCGGGCAAGGTGCAAATTTTAATTTTTTAGCCAATCAAATTCATTTAAAATCGGATAACCGTGACAACAACAATAAAAAGTTTATAGGTTCCTTGTTATTTTACGAATGTATTTGTAGAATGACTTTCCTGCAGATGATTTTCCCACACTTAGTCAATACTAACCTTTTTTATAAATACTTCATGATAATAATTTTTCATTAATCATTTCTTTTGCATAAAATTTTACTATTTTATTATTAATGATGTATCCAGAGAGGTTTTTAAAAGTATATTATATCCCTCAAAATTTCTCAAGTTTTCTCAAAACTT